AGATGATGATGATGAAGAAGGTGAAGAAGAAGATAAAGGTAAAGATGATAAATATGATAATGAAGATGATAAAAAATATAATGTTAAAGATATGAATAATAATATGGAAACAGATGATTATGATACAAATCAAAGAAAAGTTAACAATCAAAATAATTTTTTTGCTGATCTTTGATCATAAATAATATAATAATAGAATGTTAAAAATAAAATAATTTGTATAATTATTATAGAAGAGATTTTATCACTTATATAGGTTTTGTGATGTGACTGCTGAATCTCTCCAAGCAAAACTGAAAATGAAAATTATTTAACAGTTTAATTTATGTTTATTATTTAAAAAATAAATTTATTTATGAAAAAAATCAAAAATTGGCTTAATTGTTTATTATGAAAATCATTTTTCACTAAAAGGGTATAACTGAAAATGTTACCAATTTATATCACATTCGTTTTAACCAAAAACCACGTACGGGTGATAATATAGTGAGGATTTAGCAAACATGTCAACTTCAGTAATTTCAACCTTAAATCAGTCGGGTGAAACTTCAACAATAACAGCACCTAGTAATAATAACAATCGTACAGCGGAATGGGACGTAAAGATGGAAATAGAATTCTTTCGTTCCGTAATGAAACATAGACCAGTTGGTAAGTTTTATAATTTGGATTCGTATTATTCATAATTTATTTCAATAAATAAATAAATAATTAAATATGTATAATTAAATATTAATTAATTTAATTAATTATTATTATTATTTTACAGGAATTCATCGTCATTTTCATATGGTGAATGTTTATCGAGACTTTAACGCAAATAGTAAAGTAAAATGTACGATACCAGAATTATGGGAAAGATTTGGGTCATACTTTAATTTAGCCAAACTTGAGGAATTGGTAACTAATATATATTTATATACTATTATTATTATTATTCTTCTTTTTCTTTATTATTTATTCATTATTCATTATTTATTTATTATTTATGAATGTAAATAGGATCGAGAATTTGATGAAGAAGCGGATGAAGATAGTGCGTATGTAGAATTTAGTTTACCAATGGATGAATATGAATATTATAATCTTATAGAACAAAATCGTAAGGCGGGATCTTCACGTGGAGCATCACCTTCACCTGCACCATCAAAAAAAGGAGGAGGACGTACTAAAGAACCTTCACGTTCTCCATCAAATTCTTCTCTTGAATCTTCACCGGAATTAGAAGGTGAATTATCATATATTATATTATATTATATTAATTATACTTACTTGAATTATATTTGTACTTGAATTATATTTATACTTGAATTATTAATTCATAAAATTTATTAAATTCTTAGATAATACACCCAATAAGAAAAGAAGAACGCGTACTACTACAAGAAAATCGGATGTAGTAGAATTTAATTCAGCAACGACATCAACAACCACCACCAAACGTGGAGGTAGATCAAGAAAAGCGTCTGATGCAGTTGCGACGTCAAGTGGAACTTCAAAACGTGGTGGTCGTAAAAAGAAACAATAATCAAAAAAAAAAATGCATATCAAATTTATACATATATAACAAATATTATTTGCATAAGACATAAAATGCACACACATATCACTCATTTTATCATTTAGTGTACTGTACATATACTGAAAATAATTGGAAAATAATTCATCACTTTTGTGAACATTTATGTAACATAAAAAATATTGATTATTATTATTATTTTTTTTTTTGAGAGAATTAAAATAAATATAATAATAATAATAGTAATGATAATAATAAAGTAATAATAATAATGATAATAATAATAATAAAAATGATAATAAAAATAATAATAATAATGATTAATAATAATAAACTTTAATATAACGGTTCTAAATAATTTTTTTTTTGCATATATGTTGAATCATTTAAAATTTTATAGTAAATTTAATTGGAAATATAAGATTTCGTTTAAACATTTTAAATTTATTTATTTCAATTAATTTATTGAAAATTCCAATGTAAAGATCATCTTTGTTATCTTTGTTATTATTTTTTCTTCTTTTACAATTTAATAAATAAAGCAAACAAAAACAAATAAAAACAAATAAAAACAAATAAAAACAAATAAGTAAAGAAACAATAAAATCTTCTAATATATTACAAAAACAAATTGCATATTGCACTTGTGTATATATATATATATATTTGTAATCTCTATTGAAAGTAATAAAGTTGAAGACACTAAATTCTTTCTTTTCTAAACTAAAATTTTTTTCTTCTTCTCTCTTAATTTTCTTTTCATTCGTTTATCTTTGGTTATATAAATAAAATTGTTGAAGTATGATGAGAAGGAATTTTTTACGTCTGGTGATTTGACAATGATGAGAAGAAGGAAGGGGGGGAGGAGGTGGAAGAGAAGGGAGAGGGAACATCATAGGAAATTTCATTCTATTAGAAAAAAAGAAAAAAAAAAAGATGAAAATGAAATAAAAATTATACAAGGTTAAGCAAATACATTTTTTTGTCCATCTATCTAAAACACACCCTCTAATTCACCCTCTCATTCCCACACTCACACTCACACTCACACTCACACTCACACTCACTCACTCTCATTCACACACAAACACACACACTCTCTCATATCTCATTTCTAATTCATTCATTCATTCATTCATCCATCTTAACACACACATCCGAGGATAAATCATCAGTATAGATGATTTTTATTTAATTTCATCTAATAATAAATTTTTTTTTTTTCATCTAATTTATTTTATAAATAATAATATAATAATAATAATAATAATAATAATAATAATAATAATAGTAATAAAATAATGATAATATAATACTATTATTAATATTACTAATATTTTGATTATTAAAAATTATTGAGTAATCATATTTCCTATAATGATATTTTCATGTGATTGTTGAATTTGAATCATTCTTGAAGAGTTATTAGATGATGATGACGGTGGTGGTGTTGATGATGATGATAATGATGGGGATGGTGATAAGTCGTCATCATCTTCTCCTCCTTCTTCTACCATCACTGATGTCGCTGTCGTTTCATCAAATCCCGTTTCTACCATTCTCACTTTTTTCCTTTGTTCATACCAACGATGCTTACGTTCTTTACTTTTCAATGTCGCCAATTCTTTGGAAATTTCCGCTCTTTCACGTTCAATTGCTTCTAATGCTATTTCCACTTTATCCAATCCTTCCGTATCTCCTTGAGTAGTCTTAATCCTTTTGTGTTCTTGCGCAGCTTCATATTGAGTTCCTTTGATTTGTAATTTATGTTCAAGTTCCGAAATTCTTGCGTTACGATTTTCACTATTCTGTGCGGCATGTAAATTTCTTTTTAATCGAAGGTTCACTCGAGATGATTTTATTCCAGGTTTAGGTGCATTGGGATTTAATTTTGAACGTGATTGACCTCTCTTATAAGTATAACCTTCTAATAAAAGTTTTGCTTTTGCTTTCTCGAATAATGTACCTCGATTAGCCATCAATGCTGGATCGGAAAGTGCTAATTCTATTGCTGCTTGATTAATCGCTTGTTCATATGATGTTAATTGCCTATCACTATTTTTACCATATATTTTAGCGTGATTTATAATTACATCCTTAGATGAAGTTGTTAATGTAGTTATTGTATTATTAATATTATTTATATTATTAATATTATTAATATTATTAATATTATTGATATCATCATCATCATCATCATTAATACTAATATTATTAATATCTGAATCATTTGGTGATATTCTAGGTGAATTTATTGTTGTTGAATGATGAGTTGATTCAAATGTTTCTTGAACTTCTTGCATGGGGGATGGTGGATGATTTATAAATGTTGTTGTAGTAGTAGAAGTCGTATTATTATTAGAAGGAGGTGGAAGAGGTGGATGAGGAATTGGAGGATGAGGATGAGGTGGATGAGGTGGGGATTCAGTAATTGATGTAATTGATTGTGATGATGATGATGATTCGCAATTTGCTGATTGTGATGACGATGATGTGAATCGTGAAGATGATGACATATTATGATGTGACTTTTCAAAAGGAATTAGTTGATTCTTTTCTCCTCCTCTTGTTGTTGTTGTTGTCATCGTTGAAAATGGTGTCTCTGTTGTAGGTGAAATTTTTCTTGAATTATTTAAATTATCGGAATGATGTGGATGTTGTTGATGTTCGATTAACTAAAATGATAATAAAATAAATAAAAAATGATAATAAAATAAATAAAAAATGATAATAAAATAAATAAAAGATGATAATAAAATAAATAAAATGATAATAAGATAAAAATGAAAAATGAAATAAAATGAATATTAATAAAATGATAATTAATTCTTAATTTCAATTAAAAATTCGATCGATTAAAATTAGATTTACCAATGGCAATGAAGGATTTGCCGCCAAATATGTCGAATGTATTGAAAAAGAATTAGAAGTTGTTAAGGGAGGGGGTGGAGGTGGATTATTTAAATTTACGGAGAGTGCATGTCTAAGTTCTCTTATCCCTTTTTTAAAAGCTGCGGAATGAAATGGTTTCATAGATACTGCGGATAAAACTTCTTTAATTTCAGCTTCATCAAAACCTAAAAATTGTTCTAAATCATTTTCACCTACACCTGCCACCTCAACGAATCGACCATGATATTGAGTTAAATTTAATTGATGAAGAAAAGCCGTTAATGTAGGACAACGATATGAAGAAGTAGTGGAAGAGGAAGAAGAAGTGGTGGTAGGAAGTGATGATAAAGGTGGAGGTGGAGAAGAGGAAGAAAATTGAGAGGAACCATAATAACCTGACGAACTATCGTCAGGAAGAGATTCTTCTTGAGTAGAGTTTGGGGTTGGTTGCATTCTTATTGATTCTTAATAAAAAAGTAATTCCAAAGTGATTCCAAGTGATTTCAAGTGATTCTAGTGTTTTTATTATTTTCTAATGACGTGTTAGGTAAGGTGTAAATAAAGTAGATGAGATACATTTTATATGTAAACAAAGTTTGAAATATTTGGAAATATACTGAAATATGAAATATATAAATATTCAAGTTTTTGATTCACGAGAAAGTTACCTTGATACAAAAAAATATTCGTTTGAAGAACTGTTAGTCAATCCAAATGTTCTGACGGTCTTGGTGGTTGTCTGTTCTATTATGAATTTGAAAGTCAAAGGTTTGGAAGTCAAAAGTTTGAAGTCAAGGGGAAGGAAGGTCAGTGGAAGTAATACAAGTAAATTTAAATGATGATGACATGCTATCTGTCATATCATATTTGTCATATTTGCATATTTGTATATCTTTTTTTTTTTTTTACTTATATAAATAACCTTTTTTATAAAATATAATAATATAAATATAAAACTTTTCGAAAACCCTAAAAACCCTAACGATCAAACATGGAAGGAGGTCGACCTAATAATAGAAGAAATAATGACTCAAAATATTTTAGAAGAAAAGTAGTTTTTGTTGACCCCGATGATCCCACCGCACCTCATTGGTGGCCAGCAATGGTAAGAATAACTTTAAAACTTCTTTTGATCCAATCTTTCTTTATTTATAGTTAATTTTTTTTTTTTTTTTTTTTTGCGGTAAAATATATTATTTTTATTATAATAATATATTTATAGGTTGTCCCCTTAAAAGAAATCGAAATCTTTAAACAAAAAATGGATTCCGATGTTAAATATCCTTCCAAAGGAGAAAATCTAGTTTGTTATTTTGAAGATGGATCATTTTCGATTGTAGCTGAACAAGATTTATTACCATTTGATCCTAATAATAAACCTTATATTACCTACATGGAAGGACCCAATTCAACAATATTTCAAAAAGATAAAGCAGTTGCTTTAGCCACATTATATTTTGAAAAAGGAATAATTCCACCTTCATTTAAGTGGCTTCGAAATGAAGATATTAATTCTACTGCCAATACTAATGTTATTAATACTAATACTAATTCTATTAATGTTATTAATACTACTACTAATAATAATAATAATATCAATATTAATAATGATAATAATAAGAATATTGGAGAGAGTTCAATAATAGATAATAATAATAATAATTGTATTAATAGTAATAATCATAATAATAATAATAATAATAATAATAATATCAATAGTAATAATGGAATTATTAATTTGGGATCATCAAATATTGGTTATAATAATAATAATAATAATATTGAAGGAAGAGAAAGAGGAGGAAATAAAGGATTTTCTGAAAAGAACAATAATCTTGTCAATGATGATAATTATAATTATAATTATAATAATAACAATAATACCATCAACACAACAACGATTACAAATAATAAAAGAAATTATAGAAAAGATTATTGTAATATTAATATTAATAGTGGTGAGAATTAATTTTTATTATTATTATCATCATCATCATCATTATTAAATTATATTGTTATTATTATTATTATTGTTATCATCATTATTATTTATCATTATATATTAATAGATCAAAATTATTATTTTAAATAAAAAAAAAAAGAAGGAAACGTCAAGAAAGAAAATCACGTTGGACCAAAGAAAGATTACATCTCGGGTCCAGGAAGAAAAGTAAGTGAAAATCTATATAATTTATATTAATCCTTTTCTTTTCTTTATTTGATCAATTCTAATGATTAAAAATTTTTAATATATTAAAAAATAACCACAAATAAAAAATAGCTACAGAATGGTGGATCAACAAATTCAGTAGTTAATTCACGTGCATCAAAACCAACCAAAACTCGAAGTATATCAAATGCTAATAATAAAAATCTACTAAATAATGGCAATAATTATAATTCATCATTAACAAAGCCAAATAACAATAACATTAATACTAATAATATCAATGATAATAATAATACTAATTATTATTATTCGCAACAAACAAATGACGACAACAACAATAAAAATAATGATATTATTGATTACTCTGGTTTCTTCAACAACAACAACAATAATCATAATCATAATCATAATCATAATCATAATCATAATAATAATAATAATAATAATAATAACGTCACTATCATTTCATCTATATCAAATCATAATAATAATCATCATCAATCATCATCATCTTCTTCATCATCATCATCGACTACATCAATAAATAATAATAATAATAATAATAATAATAATAGTAATAGTAATAATAATAATAATAATAATAATAATAATAATAATAGTAGTAATAATAATAATTATAATAATAATAATAATAATAATTATAATAATAATAATAATGCAACAACAACAACAGAACGCGTGACAACTTCTCGAACAAAACAATGTTTTCAATGTGGAGAGAAAACTACTGCACGTACCACTACCAATAATAATAATAATAATAATAATAATAATAATAATAATGATAATAATCATAAAGAATTATCATGTAGTAAATTATTATGTGGGGAATGTGGGGAATTATTAAATTCGTTTCTTCGTAATAACAATTACTATTGTAATAATAATTATAATAATTATAATAATTATAATAATTATAATAATAATAGTAAAGTGATGATGTCAATATTTGAAAATGATTATTATTGGGATCACTTTATAGAGAAGAAGAGAAAAACTCCAAATAAATTATGGGGAAGTGGAAGTGATAAGATTGAAATTAATATCTTGAATGATATTTTACCATCCAATAAACGTTCGAGATGGGAGAAAAGATCTGAAGGTATTTTTTTATTTTATTTTTATCACTAAAAATGCTTATTATTATTGCTTATTATTCAATAATGCTTATTATTATTATATTATTGCTTATTATTATTATTATTATATAATAGAAATAAGGGCGTATCATGATGGAATAACGCGTCAAGAAGAATTTCTTTGAGATGAAATGAAGATTTTAATATCATTACCATGATGAATTTCCGATATTGTATTTCGGTATATTTCAATTATTATTATTATTATTATTATTATTATTATTATTATTATTTTTATTTTATTATCATTTTATTATTATAATTTTATTATTTATTATTTTTTTATTTTATTCTATTTTACATTCTATTTTACACTCTATTTTATTTAAAAACTTGTAAATAACACATACAAAAAAATGAATCATTAATATTGTATTTTTTTTTTTAATAAATATAATTTTTTATTATTTTTTTTAATACATAAAATTATTGTAACAACAATAATAATCACCAATCAATATAAAGAATTTTTTTTATTATACAACAAATGATCAAATATTTGACTTTCAATCAATCAATCAATCAATCAAATAAGACAAATGTAATCTTAATCTTTAAATCCAAATCCACAAATATACTAACTCATACAAACTTACTATATATAAATATACCTTGGAATATATTATTTGGCTATTAAAGAAAGTTTAGGAATATCGTTTATAATTATAAATTAAATTGTTCGTTTATAAAATTGTTTTCGTTTTTTAAATTATTATTTCGTGGTAATTTTTAATCTTGTCAATTACTTATCATTTAATGCTTTCATTTTGCATTCAACGGCTCACCAACTAAAAAATTTTATAAAATTAAAATGTGAGCAGGAATATAATAATAATAATAATAATAATAATAATTATTATTATTATTATTATAATTATTATAATTATTATTATTCATAAAATTTAAATAAAAAATTAATTTGGTTACTTACTGTTTTTACCACGTAATCTTACGCCCAGTGCTCTTTCCAATTTACTAAGAACTTGTTGATTAGGAATAGTACGACTCATTTCGTAATCATTAATCTTAATAAATCAATTCAACATAGAAAAAAATAAATAATAATAATTAATTAATTAAATAAAAAATTAACTTACGTGAATAACTGTTTATACTAAATTCTATTTAATTAAAGTATAAAATATATATATATATATATATAATAAAATAATTTACTTACCACATTAGCTTTTTCATTAATTTTTTGTCCAAGATCTTTTTGATTTAATCCTTTGGTTTGACGAGCTTGTTGAATCGCTTTTCCTACCGTTAAACTAAGTTTTGGTGGTGGTGCTACTTCATTCTCTCTATCAAGTTTTGCTATCCTTTGGTGATCACTGCTCGAATGAGATTTATTAGTACCACCAGCGTCTATAATACCAAAAAATATATATATATAAATAAATATATATATCTTAAAAAAAAAGAAATCCTATACACTCTATTTTTAATGATGATTATTATTATTATTATTATTACTCACTTTTACGTTCTATTCCAACGACAGCTCCAGCTCGACGAGCTGCATTGATTGCTGCGTCACCCTTAGTTACTTTAGCATGTTCAGTACGCTTACGAAGGATTGTAGGATTATCCCAATCATCACTCATAATGATAGATTATTTATTATTATTATTATTAAAAAGGATATTAAAGATATAATATAAAAAAAGTGTGGTAGTTTTTTTTTTTCCTCTCCGTATTCACAGTATTTATACCCAATTATTAGTTTAAATTAAATGGTGACACGTGTTTAATCGTTAGTCAACAATGGTTATAACGGAATAATGCAAAAATAAATTCCGTCATATCATTTATCAATTCATCATCTACATCAGTTTTTTTCGGGGACGATGATGACTATCCGAACTCCAACAACGTTGAAGAGAATAAATACTAATTTCTTTATGACTAAAAAATACAATAATAACTTTAAATATCTTTTAGGATGTATTAATAATAATAATAGTAGTAATAGTAATAATTATTCTAGTATTTCAAAGAATAATAATATTATTAAAACCGAAAAAAATGGAAAAGGACCTTTATCAGGATATAGAATACTTGACCTAACGCGTATTTTAGGTTGGTAGTAGTTTTAATTATTAAAATATTTTTATATTTTAAAATATTCTTAATAAAATTTATTATTAAAATTCAAATATTATTTAGCTGGACCTTATTGCACAATGTTATTAGGAGACCTTGGGTAAATAAAAATTTCATAATAACAATAATAATAATAATAATAATAATAATAATAATATTTTTTTTAATATTTTATTGTTTATTTATTTATTTGATTTTAAGAGCGGAAGTGATAAAAGTAGAAAATCCAATTACAGGAGATGACACAAGATCATGGGGTCCCCCTTGGGCAAAAAATTGTGATCCCAATGATAATTCATTACCTGAGAGTGCATATTTTTTATGTGTGAATAGAAATAAAAAATCGATTACTGTAAATTTAAAATCACCTGATGGTATCAAAATAATTAAAGAATTAGTAAAGAGATGTGATGTATTGGTAGAAAATTATTTACCCGGAAAATTAGATAAATTGGGTTTAGGATATGATGAATTAAGTGAAATCAATCCTCAATTGATTTATACTTCGATTACTGGTAATTTATTATTTAATATTTATTTAATATTTATTTAATATTTATTTAATATTTATTATTATTATTATTATTATTATTATTATTATTATTATTATTATTATTATTATTTTTATTATTATTATTATTATTATTATTATTATTATTATTATTATTATTATTATTATTATTATTATTATTATTATTA